GAGCAGGCCTGGAAGACCTCTCCAGCGTGCGGTTCAAGACCCAGGGGGGCCGCGGCGCCAGGACCCGGGCTTACGGGTGCCAACCGCCGCCGTCCCCGCAGGGCGGTGAGTCACCTAATTAACACCTGTCGGTGGTCGGTGGTCCCGGGGTGGAGTCTGGCCGAGGCGCTCGTCGTAGAAACGAAACGTGCGCCAGCAGCGGGACTGTGGCGGACTCGAGAGACGGACTTGGCAAAAGCGTGGGTCCTTACGGCCGCAGTGCCCGTCTCAGCTTCCCCACGGCGGGCCGGCAGACGCACCAGGTAGTACTGCTGGGAAAGGAACGGCTGACCGAGGGACACTTTCCTCTTAGGACCCTCAGCAGCTGGGCCCAGGTGCCATCCTCAGGCCCCTCCCTCTCATCCTAGAAGCGCTGAATTTTACTACTTTCACTACTAAAACTAACCGTGGAAACGGGCTTAAAATACTAGCATTCTTTGCAATAATCGCGCCTCGGATAAACCTCATTGGCTACGATACTGCCACTGCACAAAGCTGCATTCATTATAATATTGATAATCCCCTTTGATCAGATCAGATCAGACGGGTTCCTAATTAAATCTTCAGCAGCAAACTGGCAGCACCCCTGACCTGGCCCCTCCCACAGAACAGGAAAGACTTTGCAGGCCCCAGGTCTGGGGAAAAGAGCAGCCATGAAACAAAGCCCCCCAATCCCTAATAGAAGTTGTCTCTTCCAATGAGCATTCATCGCTTCCTAGTCCCCTATGTGATCCCCCCTCCCCGAGTTCCCTTGCAACAAAGCCTTTTCTGGGTGTCAATAAATGGTTAATTTAGCTATCTTGCTACTGGGCTTTCCTTTATCAAGCGCAGTGACCGACCTGCCCACCTTGAGTCTCCGCTGCCCAGCATAATCAGGCATATAATCAGCGCTGAGTGAGAAGCCCAGACTGGGGCAGGCCAGGCCTGCAGAGCAGAATTAGGGGCTGCTTCCCGCCATGATGGTCCCGGCCAGGTTTAAGAAGCATGCCGGTCGGAAGCACGTGCGTGCTCAAAATCCTGCCTGGCCACAGAAATGGAGGAAAAAGGACTGGTGTGGCCACGCCCGTGGAGGGAGGCTTTCTCTCTCTCTCTGGTGAGTACATGCACCCACTGGCAACTTAAAAAAAAGATTAGTGACCAGAAACTTGGTGCCCCTGACTCAGTCAGAGGGTGTAATGAAAAAGGTACTGCCGTGGCCTGCCGAGCTTGGGTTCTATAGTCCCAGCCATAATCCCCGTTCTCTGCACACATTTAAAATCGCTTCCACTTAAAAAAACAGAGCAGTGGTGTAATGGAGTACAGGGCGACTCTCGAAGCAGAGTGCTGACTAACTGACGTGGCACACGCTCCAGACACACGGAGCACTTTGCAAATGTCACCCAGGGAGATGGCAACAACCAAAATGCAAAGACAGAATGCACGCTGCGGGGGGCTCCCCGGAGGGGCACCTCCCTTCTCCGCGTCACCCCGAGCCAGGGCTACCTGCAGACACGTGCATTACGACCTCTCTGAGCAGTGGCTGGTTACAGATTTTAAAACCCGCTGTAAAGATGGCTCGGCTGCTCCCTGGGGAGCCCGATGCGGACCTCAGCTTACACTGGGTGCTCAAGGCAGGACCGAGTCCCCAAGGTCACAAGCTCTTCTACCTTGGATCAGCAACACTTAGCACACCAGTGACATTCAGTCGAAGCATCTGGAAAGTGAATTACTGAGCTCACGGTTAGCCTGGAGTCTGGTACAAAAACCTGAGAGGGGTTCCCCAGCTCTCTGGCCAGCACTGTAGAGTACCCTTTTTTAAAAAAAAAAAAATTTGCAACAAATATGGACTACTTTTATCATGAAAATAACATAAAGGTGTTTTAATTCAGGAAAAAGCAACCCCAGGTTAGCCAGGGCTGGGGCGACGTAAAACCCTGGGAGAGAAGTCACAGAATGCCCAGTTAATCTGTGGGCTAGACAGAATGCTAGTTCAAGGACCTTTTTTTCTTTTCTTTTTAAGAATCATTTCATTCAACTTCACTCTTTCACTCATTTATTTTATTTTAATTTGACCAGAGAGGGATAGAGAGAGAGAGAAAGAAAGCAGGCAAGCTGCCAAGTCCAGGACTCAAACTGTGGTCGACCATGTGGGAGTCCAGCGCCGTTAACCACCATGCCACTTGCCAGCCCCTCGAGGGGACTTATACTTTCCTCCCCAGAGAGGCGGAATGGGAGAAACCATGGTACCAGCAGGTGGCATAGTGGTTAAAGCACTGGACACTCCCACATGGCCAACCACGGTTTGAGTCTCAGACCTGGTGGTTTGCTTTCTCACTTCCTCTCTGTCTTTCTCTCTCTCTGGTCAAAGTAAAATAAACAAATGAATAAATACAATTTTTAAAATAGTAAATAATTAAATAAAATGAGAAAGCAGCCTCAGGGATGCCCATGATGCAATCCCTTCTTGAGATTTTGGGCATGCACACGTGCCTGGCCTGTGTCTCGTGCACCGGGTCCAGGACTGGAAACGTGCAGTCGGTCATGTGGGATCCAGCCACCTTTAACCACCATGCCACCTGGCTGGTCCTGTACTTCCGATCTGGGCCCTCTTGGCAAGCAAGCCTCATCTGGAGGGGGAGCATGAAGTGACTCTGAGCCCCGACCCCCACTCTACCAACACTCGCAGGGCTCCTGATCAATTCAGTCAATTACTTCAATGTGCTGAAACTGTGTCCTCCTACTTTACGGATGTCTTGTATGGTATATTAATATGTTAAGTACCTGGCACGTAGGAGACATCTTTGAAAAAGCAGTCATTAGGGGGAACACCTCACCTTGGTAAAGAGAACACTGCCATGCTGTTAAGCGGGGTGCAGGACCCTCCCTCTGGCAGCTCTGGTCTGTGCAGGTGCAGCCCGTTCCCGTCCCGGGATGGGTTCCCATTTCCCAGTGGACTACTCTGACCTCTGTCCCACAGCCTCGGACCATGTCCAATGGGTGTGTGCTCAAGGAGGGCGGGGTCCCAGGTCTCACATGCTAGCTTCCCCTCCAAATACAGCCAGCTCCAGCGAGGGGTGTCTGAGGTGGAGAACCCACACCTGGGACGGAACACCTTGGCGTTTTATTGACCTTTCCACTGACTACTTATAGCTATGCGGCCCAGACACCACCAAGGCCTCTGTCTGTAGAAGGTGGACTGCAGCTTTTTCTGCTGCCCATGAACAGTCCCCTGAGGATGGGGATTTACCAGCGGGAAGAAAGCTACAAGAAAAACTAAAAAGTAACTGGGATGCTGTGATCCTCTTAAACTTGTGAATTTATATAAATTGTATCCAAGTAGTAACCTCCCTATCTTCACTAAGCTCCTGCCCTTGCTACTTTTTTTGGTGAGGAACAGTTTGAAGTTACCTTCTTTAGTGGGTTCCTGTTCTCATACCTCCATTCTGTAACTGCATGAGGCCTCACTGTGGCTAAACCGCTGGGACCAGTGGTGCCCTGCAAAGGTCACGGCATTTTGGAATGGAGAAGGTACGCGGGTGTGAAAGCAGCTGACAGAGTGCTGTCGACCAGTGATTCATCTGAGTTGGGACCAGCAGTTGGCGTAATGGCTATGTCGCTGGACTCCCATGTAGTCAACTGTGGTTCGCGTCCCGGACCCGGTAGCTTAAACTCATGCCAGGCGCGTGTGTGTGCGTGCCCAAGATCCCGAGAGGAGAATGGAGGAGAAAGGATTGCGGCGTGGCCATTCCCCCCTGGGGGGTGATTTCTCGCTTTCTGTCTCTCTGTCTCTCTCTGTCTGTCTGGCAAGCGCATCTGAGTAACTTTTCACTCCCTGTTTTACAGATGAGGAAATTGGTATGTAGGAAACTTACATGGGCGGGGCCAGTAGCCCACTAGTTAAGGGAACTGGATCCCACATGGTAGACCGTGGTTCAAGTCCTAGCCCCAGAGGCTCAGGAGGCATGCTGGCTAGGTGTGTACCCCGAATCCTGACCGGATGGAGAGATGGAGAAGGGACTGCAGCATGACCAGGCCCATCAGGGGGTGCTTTTCCTCTCTGTGTCTCTAACTTTCTGGCAATTAAGAAACTGGGGTGGAGGAGACAGGGGACTCAGGTGCCCTGAGCTCCAGAAGCAGAGCGTGGTCTCTGCCCTTGGATCAAGCTGTTAGGTAACTGGCACAGCCGGAGGTATCCTGGACTGCAGAGCTGGAAGCCACAAGCCACCACGGTTGGAGCCCTTGGCCCAGTCAGTCTGAAAACACGCTGGGGACGTGCGCATGCCCAAGACCGTGGTGGACTAGAGAAGGGGGACCGTGCACACCCGAGGCCAGTGCCTCGTGGACACTGTCTCTCCCTCTCTCGTGTGTGCACATGCTCGCCCATGAAGGAAAAACAGATCAAACAGAAAAGGACAAGGAAAAGTATGGGCTCATGGCAGCTAGTCTAATGGAGATAAGGAGAAGGAAAAGGGCGTGGGGGAGGGGAGGAAGGCTCACTGGCTGCCCGGGTGGGTTACACGCCCAGCCCCAATGACAGCAGAGGGCTAGGAGTTCTCTGAGTTTGGGTGTCTACAGGTTACAGCTTCTCAAAGGGCAATCTATCCTGTTGCTGATAAAATATCCGAGTCTGGTGCTCTCTGAGAATAGAGGTCTAGTTAGCTTGTAGTTTCGGAGGTCCAAGCTCAAGAGGCCACATCTGGCGAGTCTTCCTTGGTGGGCTCCTGAGGCAGTGCAGCTGTCCCCTGGCAAGAGCCTAAGCGTGGCGTGAGTGCTGCCAGTGTCATCACCCACGAGTATCCAGTCCCGGGGCCCACCCTGATGCCTAGTCACTTCCCAAAGACCCCACTTCTTCTTTAAAAAAAAAATTATTTTGGGCCAGCAGGTGGCATGGTGGTTAAGGTACTGGACACTCCCACATGGCTGACCATGGTTCGAGTCGTAGACCTGGTGGCTTGCTTTCTCCCTTTCCCTCTCTCTCTTTCTGTGTTTCTCTCATCAAATAAAATGAATGGGGGCTGGCAGGTGGCAACGTGGTTCTGATGGCTGGACTCCCACATGGCTGACTACGGTTTGAGTCCCGGACTTGGCAGCTTGCTTTCTCACTTTCCTTCTCTCTCTTGGTCAACTTCAAAAAAATAAAAGAATGGCAATGAGTAAAATTAAATAAAATAATTCTTTAAAAATAATTTAAAAATGAAATGAGTGAATACAATTAAATAAATCATTAAAAAAGAAATACTGTTAAAAATAATTATTTAATTTAATTTAATTTATTTATTTAAATGTGACCAGAAAAGGACAGACTGAGAGAGAAAGAGAGGGAAAGTGAGAAAGCAAGCCGCGAGGTCTGGGACTCGAACCGTGGTCAACCATGTGAAAGTCAGTGCCTTAATCACCACACCACCTACTGACCACTAGCATTCTCTTTTTTTAAAAACAAATCAAAATACAGGATGAAAACCCCGGGTGACATAGGGAAGAACAAGGAAGCGGACGGCAACAACCGCTGCTCGCGGAG